CCACGCGTTGTATCGCCACGCGTTATATTGCCACGCGTTATATCGCCACGCGTTATATCGCTACGCGTTGTATCGCCACGCGTTATATTGTCGCGCGTTGTATCACCACTAGTTGTACCGCCATGCGTTGTATTCCCACGCGTTGTATCGCTACATGTTATATTGCCACGCGTTGTATCGCCACGCGTTGTATCGCCACGCGTTGTATCACCACGCGTTGTATCACCACGCGTTGTATCGCCACGCGTTGTATCGCCACGCGTTGTATCGCCACGCGTTGTATCGCCACGCGTTGTATCGCCACGCGTTGTATCGCCACGCGTTGTATCGCCACGCGTTGTATCGCCACGCGTTGTATCGCCACGCGTTGTATCGCCACGCGTTGTATCGCCACGCGTTGTATCGCCACGCGTTGTATCGCCACGCGTTGTATCGCCACGCGTTGTATCGCCACGCGTTGTATCGCCACGCGTTGTATCGCCACGCGTTGTATCGCCACGCGTTGTATCGCCACGCGTTGTATCGCCACGCGTTGTATCGCCACGCGTTGTATCGCCACGCGTTGTATCGCCACGCGTTGTATCGCCACGCGTTGTATCGCCACGCGTTGTATCGCCACGCGTTGTATCGCCACGCGTTGTATCGCCACGCGTTGTATCGCCACGCGTTGTATCGCCACGCGTTGTATCGCCACGCGTTGTATCGCCACGCGTTGTATCGCCACGCGTTGTATCGCCACGCGTTGTATGGCCACGCGCTGTATCGCCACGCGTTGTATCGCCACGCGTTGTATCGCCACGCGTTGTATCGCCACGCGTTATATCGCCACGCGTTATGTTGCCTTGCGTTGAATAACCACGCGTTGTATCACCACTCGTGTCACCACGCGTTGTATCGTCACGCGTTGCATTGCCACGCGTTATATTGCCTTGCGTTGAATAACCATGCGTTGTACAACCATGCGTTATATTGCGACGTGTTATATTGCCACGCGTCGAATTATCACACGCTGAATTACTCCATTAAAAATGATCACTCGTTATATAGCCACATATTGAACCACCTCTCATTATATAGCCACACTTCCCATTACCACATATTCCATCTTCCCGTATTATTTCTCCACATGCAATGTATAATTTAGCTAACAGACAAACCCCTATCCTCTATCTCTCATAACGAAAACTGCCATATATGAAACACTCCGCTACAACCCTTAAAAATAAGGTTAAAATATACGTCATACGGCTCTCTCCATTTTAATAATATCATAATTGGTTAATTTAATTAAATTCGTGGCGTCATTCAACGTGTTAATTCTTGCGGTTCATCCGCTACAAAGGACGGAAACGATGGAAAGAAAAAAAGGGGTGGAAAATGCTCGAGGGGTGCTTTACCCTTAGCGTTACCGAAACAATTTCCAGTGCTATGGCCGTGAGTAAAGCTGGCACATAATTTAGTAATTCCCGGGTCAATTGCCCGGTTCGTTCTGTTTCGATCCTTATCGGGAGACCCATAGAATAAATATTTCAATGTACGTGTAATACGCTGAATAAACATTGATTCTTCTCGGGGGTGATATAAGCTGACTATAAGCCCATTGATTTGTTTGACTCGCATAACTGTTTAAGTTTCTTCGTATTCTCAACTGCAATTTACCGGTTTAATTGTGCTTAACGATGTTTCTCACTTTTGTAACTTCTCATTTTTTAGTTTTATTGATTATATTAATAGAGTTCTATTAATTATATGTAAATTACATTAAGTCCTTCTTTAGGTCGTTTATTAAACGAGTTAAATGTTGCTTGTATAAATTACAATTCATTATTTTGGTTAATTATTTTTAACGATACATCTCTATTACACGTACATTTGCAAGTATTTTGCGGATCACATTACATGAACTTAATTAAATTATTTTGGAAGCTTTTTAAACTAATTAAGCTCTCCTTGTATCCCACATCGAAATTCATTATTTTTAATGACATAACTTGGTTTTGTGTACATTTGCACATTTCCAGTTACATTAACCTGGATTTAATTAAGATACCAAGATGTTATTTAAACAACACCGAATTATCGATGAATATCGCATAAATTTATTTATATCATTTAATATTAAAATAATTTCACGAACGGCACGAAAATCAGTGCAATGTACCTGGCTCGGAATATTAAACGTTACGGATGCCTGGAAGGCATATTTGGAATGCAAGAGGTTAACGTACCTTTATGTTAAATGTATGTATATGAGCGTTTTCAATGCGCTTTAAACACTGAAATTTCAATTAACACAATATGTTGTCGAGTTCAACGTGTAACAACTGAATTTTTTCAACCGGAGAACCCAGAAACTTATTTTCCTCTGTTCAGAATAAAATATTCATTCGATCAGTTTCAAATATTTATAAATATATAAATCCCCAATTACCGTACTGCAAAATACGTGGAAAATTAATGTATCTATAAAATATTTGTTTGCTCGAAATCGCGCAGAAAATTAAATCGATTTATACGATCTCGTCTGTACGCGCAAACATTTCGATGATAAAATGTTGATAAATTGGATGTTGATTAAATCGGACGCACAATTTTGTTTGTTCGCGTAGAAGATGTACGAAACTCCTGTATTTCTGTAAAAACGTCCAGCGGTATACTTTTATGTAGGTCGCAATCGATTGCACCGCGTTTACGTCCCACGATGCTGCTAAATTTCGTATAATGATAATGAAAGCCTGTTGGTTTTAACGTTTACCAGCGCGTGACCGGATTTTATAAAATTTCAAGTATGAAGCGTGGAGTTATAGTCTCGGCGATCTCCATTAGAGCAATAAATTACTAACAAACGGGCCGACCGGTCGTTGCTGGTAATTCGAATAATTGTGCTTGTTCGATGCAAATCTAATGGTTGGTTATTAAGCAAGTATCATTGTCGCGTGTTATATCTTGATTACTGAATCGGATGATGTATTGTTCTGGTAAGCGGGACGTCCTAGTAGGACAGGTTGATACTAGGGATTTTGGAATATTATGGAGTGTTTAGAAATTTGGGAATTTGGGGATTTAGGAATTTTGGGATTTAGAAATTTGGGGAATTTCGAAAATTTGGGGATTTAGGAATTTGGGGAATTTGGGGATTTAGGGATTTGGAAATTTGGGGAATCAGGAATTTAGAGAATTTGGAGAATTTGAGAAATTTGGAGAATTTGGGGAATTTGGGGAATTTGGAGAATTTGGAGAAATTTGAGAGATTTGGGGAATTCGGGGAATTTGGGGATTTGGGGATTTAGGGATTTGGAAATTTGGGGAATCAGGAATTTAGAGAATTTGGAGAATTTGACAAATTTGGAGAATTTGGGGAATTTGGAGAATTTGGAGAAATTTGAGAGATTTGGGGAATTCGGGGAATTTGGGGATTTGGGGATTTAGGGATTTGGAAATTTGGGGAATCAGGAATTTAGAGAATTTGGAGAATTTGGGGAATTTGGGGAATTTGAGGAATTTGAGGAATTTGGCGAATTTGAAAAATTTGAAAAATTTGAGAAATTTGGAAGATTTGGGGAATTTGGGGAATTTGGAAAATTTGAGAAATTTGGGGAATTTGAGGAATTTATAGAATTTGGAGAATTTGAAAAATTTGGAAGATTTGGGGAATTTGGAAAATTTGGAAAATTTGGAGAATTTAGGGAATTTGGAGAATTTCGATAATTTGAAAAATTTTAAAAATTTGGAGAATTTAGGGAATTTGGGGAATTTGGAGAATTTGGAGAATTTGGAGAAATTTGAGATATTTGGAGAATTTAAGGAATTTGGAGAAATTGAAGAATTTGAGAAGTTTGGAAGATTTGGGGAATTCGAGGAATTTGGGGAATTTGGGGAATTTTGGGAATTTGGGGAATTTGAAGAATTTGGGGAATTGAAGTTTAGAAATTTGGTATTTGAAGAATTGGAGTTCAGAAATTTGATATTTGGGGAATTGGTGTTTAAGGTTTTGGGATTTGTAATTCATTGTATTTGAGGTTTTGGACCATTCTAAACTTGAAAATTTAGAAATTTTGTCCTTTGGAAATTTGAGGATTAAAATATTTCGAGTTTAGGGAATTTGGAGATATAAAAATTTGAACTGCAAGAAATACTGAAATTTGGGGTGGTCTTTCGAAAATATAGAAATTTACTAACTTGGGGATCTAGATATTGGATCTCCTACAATTTCTAAAATTAGAGATTTCAAATTTCACAATTTGAAAATGTAGAAATTCAGGTGTTTAACAATTTACAAATTTGTCACTTTGACAATCGAAAACTTGAAAATCCAAAAATCTGCAAATTTTCATCATGACACTTTGGAAAATATTTGAATTTGTAACTAAAAAACGTGACCTAGTAACCCCTATACAACAGATCATCGACCCGCTCACCGGAAGTTGCCTACCGCTCCATTAACAATTTCACATTTCGAAATATTAACACTACACCCATACAACCCTCCTTATCTCTTAAAAATTCATTTTTCCATCGAATATCTCCATTCGCAATTACAGCTATCTACTCCCAGTTATTCACTAAAATTACTATCTACCCCTAGTTATTGAATCAAACGAAATTCGAAACGATCACGTATAAGGCAATATCAATTAACCCGCTACAATATGCCATAATAGGATATGGGTCGTTTTGAAAGCAGCGATCGATGAGTTAAGCAACCGTGGCACCGTTAAGCGAAGTAAAAATTCCCTCGTTTGTACAACTGGGCCACAAAAAACGTATTTTTCATCGGGATTATTTGCTCAGCCCGATCGTTCCTTTCCGTTTTATTGCGATCGTTACCTAACGTTCCGGCGGAACGAGCCATCGGAGAACGTCCTCTGAAGTGTGCTTCCAACTCCTGCCTATTCGCTATAAATATGTTAGGAACAAAAACAGGTCAACGTAACCGAGCCGGGGGCGGACGAAACATTGTTTCAAGTATAACTCGTTTAATAGCAGCGCGGCTTTGTAAATGATTTACCGAGGTTAGGAGCGTGGCTAATTAAAAAGGGCTCTCTCTCCGCTTCGAATCGTAAAAAATTTCACATCGCAGCCTCCTCTTTTTCCGACCGACTGTTAGACACGCGTTGTTTAGCAATGTGAACAGACTAATGTCATTTTCTGTTTGAGCAAATTTCCTTTTTAGCACGTTTCTGCTGCAGGGAAAATGGCCTGACATGAGGGTGACACGAGGGTGGTTTTTTAGTTATTGGGTATTTTTTTGGGTTTGTGCAGTTGGGATGATATTTGGGGGTTATTTGGGGAGGTTAATTGTGGAATATTGGGGATTTTTGAAAGTATATGTGGTAGTTGTACTGTTTATGATTTCAGGTGTTTTCGATTGTCGATGAATTTGGGATTTGGAAATTTGGGGACTAGGGAAATTGGGGATTTGGAAATTTGGAAACTAGGGAATTTGAGGATTTGCAAACAAGGGAATTTGGGAATTTGGAAATTTGTATCTAGGGAATTTGGGAATTTGGAAACTAGGAAATTTGGGGATTTGAAAATTTGGAAACTAAAGAATTTGGAGATTTGGAAATTTGGGGTCTAGGGAATTTGGGGATTTGGAAATTTGGGGTCTAGGGAATTTGGGGATTTGAAAATTTGGGGTCTAGGGAATTTGGGGATTTGAAAATTTAGGGTCTAGGGAATTTTGGGATTTGGAAATTTGGAGTTTTGAAAATTTGGAAACTAGAGAATTTGGGGATTTGGAAATTTGGGGTCTAGAGAATTTGGGGATTTGGAAATTTGGGGTCTAGGGAATTTGGGGATTTGAAAATTTGGAAACTAGAGAATTTGGGGATTTGGAAATTCGGGGTCTAGGGAATTTGAGGATTTGGAAATTTGGGGTCTAGGGAATTTGGGGATTTGAAAATTTGGGGTTTAGGGAATTTGGGGATTTGGAAATTTGGGGTATAGAGAATTTAGGGATTTGGAAATTTGGGTAATGGGAATTTGGTAACTAGGGAATTTGGGAACTAGTGAAATTGGGGATTTGGAAATTTGGAGACTAGGAAATTTGGGGATTTTGAAATGTGGAATTTTGGCGTTGGAAATTTGGAAATTTTGGAATTGTGAAGTTGGAAATTTCAAGATTTGAGGATCTAAGGATGCAGGTATTTGAATATTTGGAAATTTAGTAATTGAAAATCGATGGAGATTTGAGGAGTTGGAAATTTAAGAACCTGAGGATGTAAGTATTAAGGTATTTGACAACTGGATGATCTGGAAATTTGAGGGATTGGGAAATTTAGAAAATGCTAACATTGTAAATGTGAAGTTTGGGAATTTAAGGATTTGAGGATTTGAAGATCCAGGTACTTCAACATTTGCAAATTTAGTAATTGGAACAGATAATTTGGGGGGTTGGAAATTTAAGGATTTGAGTATCTAAGAGTCTGATTATTTGAGGACATAAAAATTAATATACAAATCAAATATTCAATATTCAATCAAAATATTCAATCAAATATTATAGGTAATATTATATAACATTAGTAATATTTATTCAAAAAATGTAATAACTCGAATATTTAATAATCAAAATCAATAAACAGTACATCCACATACATAGAAATTTAATACTTGGTCTTTACTAATTATAAAAATTGTGCATTTAAAAATAGAAAAATTTGGAACCGTATTTTTAAATAAAATAAAAATTGTCCATTTGAACTGTAAAAAAAGGAAGCTTACAGGTCAAAGGACCCGTACGGTATTTCCGGCGTGCAGAAATATTATTTCTGAATCGTTGATTTCACCCTGTCGTTTCCGTATAACTTTCCCTGACGTTTACTCATTTATTCGTGTGATCGTTGAAACTCGCAGCGTTCCGTAAATTAAAAATGGATTATTCCTCTGTTCGCAGCCCGACTAAAGGCAGCAGCAAATTAGAAATGTTGGCTGGTGTAAAGTCTCAGATGACGGGTTGGTTTAGCGGTGGAATACCCGGATTAAGTCGGGGTGCACATGGAAATGAAAGCGAGGCGCAACCACAGGCAGGTGCAAATGGCACCCCAATAGCGCAAAATACTCAGGGTACAACTGAGCACCAAAAAGAAGACGATGCGAGCAGGTAACAACACCTTTTATACTTGCATTTTGTTAAGGACCGTTTTAACCCCTTACCCTATTATTTTTTTATGGCTTAAGAGTTCAAATCGCAGATTAAGTGAATTCTGTGTTCATGAATCAGTTATTCATAAGTAAATTACACATGGTAGTATGTGGATACGTTAATTTATACATACATGATTAAATACATGGATGATTAAATAAATTGTATGGGGTACTGTTTTATAAATTTCATAAGGGTTGAAGACGGGGTTGATTAGTTCTGGATTGGGATGCAAGCTCGTAGTGTGAACTTGATGAGACAAAGGGGTGGTCTATTCATGTCAACAATTCTTATTGAATACACTCCTCTAGTTGAACTAAATGTAGTTACAGTAATAGGGGTTGTTTATGATAATAATTTTTATTGAACAAATAATTCTACTTGAACTAAATATACAGGTAGTCAGAGTGATAGGGGTTGCTCATGATAATAATTTTTATCGAACAAATGATTCTAGTAGAAGTAAATGTAGTTAGAATCATAGGGGTTGATCTGTTCATGATAATAATTTTTATTGAGCAAATGATTCTGTTGTAGTAGAAGTAAATGTGGCTAGACTGATAGGAGTTGCTCATGATAATAATTTTTATTGAATACACTTTTCTAGTTGAACTAAATGTAGTTACAATGATAGGGGTTGCTCATGATAATAATTTTTATTGAATACACTTTTCTACTTGAATTAAATGTAGTTACAATGATAGGGGTTGCTCATGATCATAATTTTGTATTGAATACATGATTCCAGTAAAAATAAATATAATTGTAGTGATAGGAGTTGATCTGTTCCTAACAATAATTTTAGTTGAACATATTAATTGTTCCAGTTAATAATAAGTAATATAGTTGAAACAGGGTATGAACATGCATAATGTGTGATATACAATGATGGTAGAAAAACTACCCTTAATTGATAACATGTGTTTAATACATCCATTAGACATCTACTCTCTGAGTGCAATTTTTTAAACCAACATCCAAAATTTATTTTTCAAAACAATTCTTCAGATTGTTATTTTAAATTGTTCATAACAGTAATATCTAAAATTGTCCTATTTTCACTTTTGACTATTTATACAAAGTAAATTTATGAGCATATTTAATGTATATCTTGTGACATGTAAATGAAATGTGTTCGGTATGTAAATGATATTGTTATTTAGTTTGTATTTAATTCTGTCACCAGTGCAACCGGTGGAGCCGACAGTGGACCTGGAAGTTTAGAGGGTTCGCCACTGGAGGACGCCGAAGGACAACAAGCATTTGGAGGTGGTGAGTTTTTACCTTCCCTTTATGCTAATTCCTCTCCTTTATTAAGACGAGCAAAAAGTAACATTAGTCAACTGCCTGGTAAAAAGTCACTTCAATAATTCAGTAATTTTTTTTTTGCTAAAAAGACACTTGTCAAACAACAATTCCTGATTTCATCCAAGTTTCGCGAATTTAAACTGAGTTCGTATACTTAATAAAAGTAATTAGAGACAATTAGTTTAAGTGTTAGCTGTCAAGTACATAAAATTTGAAAGCTTAAATGTAGTACGGAAAATTGTGCCTTGAGTAAGTTTTGACGGATATTTGCCCTTACGCGTTTGCCTCCTGCGCTACTCTTAATCAATTTTAAGTCAGCGAACGCTCGAAAACTGCAAAGGAAACTTTTAATTAGATCCCACTCCGTAGAAATGAAAGGGTTCGAAGGACTCTTAAAGAAACTGACTCCTGTTACCGCTGATATTCGTTACCTGCGAAGCAAGCTTTCATGCGATAGCGGATAAAAGGATACCTGTTTATCCTCTTCGCTTTTCGATTGAAATTAGTTAAGGGATGAAATTAAGACTCTGGAACTTTTAACCCTTTCTTTATATCCTTCGTTTATCTTTATTTTTACTCTGGAGATTTGATGTTTGCTATGCATTAGTAATGAAGTTAAAGTACTTTTACAAATTGGTAATGAAATTAAAAATTTCTTGTAGATGAGTTAAGGGTAGGTGAGTGACTTCTATAAAATAAAAATTTTGTTATTATAGAGTGATAGTACATCTGAAAATTTATTATTGTAGACCAGCGATGAAATGTAAAATTTATGTTTACCAATTGGTAATAAAATTAAGAATTTACTACTATGAAAAATTATTTTAGGTGAAAGATAAAATCCAAAATTTATTATTTCAAGTTGGTGACTATTATAATAGATAAGTGACAAGCCTTTTAATTTATTATTTCAAATAAATGATAAGACAGAAAATTTATTAATTTTTATTATTATCAGTTGAGAGTCGAAAATATAACCAAAACTTGAATAACCATAAAAAATTGAGAAAATCTCGTAGCAAAGCTTCGTCAGAAAAATTGAACATGGGGGTGGAAATTCAAATTCGGTACAAGAGGACTTCTATATCCCACATATTCCTCAAGAAGACAATTTATTTTCACCGTCTCCATTGTCACGTTCTGCAATCGTGACGAGGTTAAACTGTACGCGCGAAAAAGCTCGGTATATCTGCATGCGAAATGCACAAATCATTCGATCGACGTTTACAGTAACACGTTCCATGGGGATTTGATTTTCCCCAATGTTCGTATTTCGACGTGCATATTCAGAATACTAGACGCGCACGATGGCTAGGCGTTTCTATAAAAGATTCAACAGGAACTTATCGGTTCTCTCGACTCGCCACGTTCAACTCGGTTGATTAATGATGCAGCTCGATGTCGATCAAGTTTAACGAACTGATATCGAATCGCTATCGTTGCGCCTTGTTATTCAATTGACTTTCATGGCTGACTTCTATTTTCTTCTACTTCCATTTCCGACTGTCTGTTCCTTCTTTTCTTTATTTCATGATTCTGAAATGTATCGTCTGTTCTGGGTGAAATTCTGGTGATTGGTAGTGCGATGTGAAAGAATTTTGAGGGAAAGTATATTGAAATTGATGTACTTTTGAAGGTTGTGTAGGGGATGATGTGATCAGAGACAAGTTATTAATTCTTTGGTACTTGTCTTTTTTAAATTTTTATATAGATACATTTTTGGATTAGTAGGAATGATTATTGAAGTCTGATGACAGTCAGAATAAAAAAGTAACAGTAAATTTTTTCTGTGACAAATTTAGTGAGTGCCACAGTAGAAGTGGACGTATATGGTCAGACGTGGTACAGTTTCACTTAACCTTTCATTGTTTGATATTTTCAATTAAAAACAAAGAAGATACATATTTCAACTGTTAGAGGTAAAAATAATAAGGAAATAGCAACAATCAAATTTATTTAACACATTGACTTCCACAGTAGACATGGACGTATATGGTCAGACATGGTGCAGTTTCACTTAACCCTTCGTTCTATATTATTTTCGATTAAAAACAAAGAAGATATGTATTTCAATCGTTAGAGGTAGAAATGATAAGGAAATAGAAATAGTTAAATTTATTTAATGACTGCCACAGTAGAAGTGGACGTATGTGGTCAGACATGGAGGAGTTTCACTTTACCCTTCGTTGTTTAACATTTTTAATTGAAAACAAAGAAGGTACATATTTTAACTGTTAGAGGTGGAAATAATAAGAAAATATTTGTGGACATTTAACACATTTGCTGCCACAGTAGAATTAGACATATGTGGTCAGACACAGTTCAAAATCACTTAATTCTTTATTACATGATATTTTCAATGGAAAACAAAGAAGATACATATCTCAACCTTTAGAGCTACAAACAATAAGAAAATATTAGCGAACATTTAACACATTGACTGCCACAGTAGAAGATGTCGTGAATGGTCAGACATGGTGTAGCATTACTTAACCCTCCATAACACGAAATTTCCAATTAAAAACATTGAAGATACATATTTTAACAATCAATAGTAGCAACAATAAGGAAATAGCAATGAATACATGCATTTAATACATTACCAAAGTAGTAGCATACGTATATGGTCAGACATGAATACTTAATTTTTCAATTTCTTCTTTCGACTTTGTTAGCGACCGGTCTCTGAATATTGAAAGCCTTTTAAAGTCTCTGTCTATTGCTTTTTCGTTGAATAATTTATCTTCATTGAATTTGTAACATGTTTTTTGCACATGAATATTATTAACCTTATTATTTATTGTATGTTATTATTGTATGAGTGTGAAATAAAATACTGGAATCAGAGGAACAATATTTTAATAATTTATTTATTTTTAGTGGAATATAAAATTTTTATGATATCATGTTACGTAACATATTTGCAACTGAATATAATAAAAAGTTATAATGTTTTTATTTGATACATTGTAATTAAGTGGACAAGTAGAACAATATTTAACTTCATTTTTTTATACGTTACTCCATACTATTTTTTTTATCTTGCTAAATAGAATCTTACAATCTGAAATTGTAGCAGATCTGTTACAACACGAAGTTGATTGTCTAGCATTCCTCGGAGGTTCCGCCTCTAAAACGCGTACTACCTCATTTTTCTTTCCACGAATCGTCATGTTTTATTTCACAGAACACAGGTACCATATATTTCGTTGGTACGCTTTTTTCTTCTCCGGATGTACGGATAACGTTGAACTTTCCGCGGACACCGATCCCATCAATAACATCCTCTCGCGAAAATATTTTTTCCTCCTCGTATTTTCACGTCATGCGTACCTGCACGCGTATAAATATGTATCTGGTCGCGAAAAACACTCGTAAAAGCACGCCCGTGCGAGCGTATCTCGGAAATATGTGTTATACGATGATCGAGGAAAAAAAACCACCTCTTCTCGCTTCACGAGTTCCGATATCACGATATTTTTCACGGAACGCGTGCTGCGAGCGCGAAAAACACGTTGCCTCGATCGCTAATATAATTTATCGCTGATTCGATAATCAATTTGATAATCGCTCGTCGATCGACAACCGAGTTCTCTTAATTTCCTCGTGTTTACAATAACAAACGGTTATACGTTCATTCACGGTTTTTAATTTGTCGGTTACGCTCGAGATATTTATCGAGTTTCTGTTTTATTGTTGTAAGGATTCCATGGAAATTTATTTTCCATGCAACGTGGACTTTCTGGTCAGAAGTTTTATTCTTTTCAAAATGAAAAATGTTTGACGTTGACTTGTTTGGATTTTATGGAATGTTTACTGTTAGTTGAATAAACTGAGATGACATATTTTTTCTGAATGCAATTTTTCAAATATTTTGAGGAAATAAGTGAATGGTTTAAATAAAATTGTATTTTTGTTGGAGTGAAAAGTGGTCTAGAAAATTAATTTTTTACAAGTGTTGCAAGTGTTTGTCTATTTAATAAAAATGTATACTAAATTCATTGAAGGTGTATCAACAAGAAGATTTCAATAAATAAATTTGTCATATTATTCTACAATGTGTATTCTAACAAATATAGTTCTTGTCTGTTCACATAAAATAGCAATACATATTTTTTAAAAATTATATTGTACTTAAAAGTAATATATTACATGTAATCATTACAAATTTGCATTATATTGAGGTGCAACAAAAATTACAGTTACAAATGACTAAAAATATATTCAACAATTTTATCAATTACGAAAACCATTCCCATATTTAACAAAGTACTATTATAAAATAAATTTCATAAAATACAAAAATTATTTTAGTTTCAAAATTACAAAAATTATTTTAGTTTCAAAATTACAAAAATTATTTAGTTTCCTGACAGGCTGAGTTAAAATTAATTGAACACTTATTGGAAATCAATGATCAATTCTACCCAATAAAAACATCTCATGCATCTTCCCAAAATTCCATTTATTCATCGACAAATATTTTGAACACAAAACCCCTTTCGATTTCACCCATTCAACTTTTTTAATCGCAATCGAAAAAAGGTAGCACTTGTCCCAGTTGCATGAATCTCCCTATACAAACGATAAAAATTTCTGCGGCAACAGCTTTGTTCGTGGTTTTCGAGAGAGCTGCGCATTGATGAAATTTTCGTCGCGTTTCATGAACGCTTATCGCGCGAAATATTTGAAACGCATTGTTCCGACATTTCTATATCGAAAAGAGCGAATAGCAAAATAGAAAATGTCCGTCGCACGATCGAATTGATCGTTCGTTTAACTCGTTGGACCTTCCGCAAAATTTTCATCGTAAATCGACCCGTTGTATGCGAATATTCGCTTATTTTTTGCGAGTAACAAAGTTGTCGCAATGGCGGCTCGTTGAAATTTTCTCGAGGACAAGCGTTGCGAAACTTGCTGGTTTTCTCTTTTCAGTCTTTCTGCAGCTCGACGGAGATACGAAA